TTTCCCCCCTTTAAGTGTCGGAAGCCCCCCCAAACACTTAGGAACCCCCTCCCCAATTCTCTTCATCTCCCTCCTCTCTAATCCTAACCCTAGCCGCCATAAACCTCCAACCCACCTTGCCGGCGGCCACCACTCCAAATCACCCCAAATCCTCACCCTATAATCTCCACATTGCCCTCATCTCACATCTCCTGTTATGTTCCTTCAAAACCTCCCATATTTCTCCTATTTTTGGATCCGAATTTTCAAAAGAACCTAATTCGGCCCCTTTTCCAGTTTTCTTCTTTAGATTCAACTCGATTTGGATCGGAATCTATGTTGATTGTTTGCTTTTGACAAGAGCAACCATTTAACTTTAATTTCGGACCATTTCGAATTCATCGAAACTCGATCACGACGATATGGACCGGCCAGTTTTCATCCTCTAACTTTGATGGTCGGATTTAATTATTTGCTGATAAGTCAACTTGGTATATCTATTTCCTCTATTCTGTGTTTTATTTTTAGTTACCACTGTTTCACCAATTAAGCATGATTTGATTAATAAGCGATTTAAATTAGTATCTATTTGTTAGACTTAATGTATTTAGGCTTTAATTACAATATGTAATGAGTTTGTTCAATTGTTTAATTTTGATGTTTGCTTGAGTGTGGGGTGGCCAAGACTGTAAGCATAAGCTTCGTTTAAATTTGGGAGGGCCTGCTGGGTAGGCAGACCCATTAAATGTGAGATTCGGGTAGGGAAAATATGGGCCAAAGGCCCAGGTGGATTTCAGTAAAGTATTGCAAGATTTGAGAGAATTCAGTGAAATGAATAAAAAGATTTTTTCTGTTATGAGAGAAGCTTCTAAAAAGAACAACTGTCAAAAATTGGTTAGGAAAGGATGCCTTATCCATTAAAATCAGCTGACAAATTCTTTTCTAGGCTTTATCTCATAGAGCATATGCATATTCTATAAAATTAAAAAAAAGGACTCCTCCTCTCATTCAGGGACATGGATTTCACACAAAAGAAAAGGCACACACAAAATTCACTCTTTTAATTTCTGCTCTCATCTCATACTGATTTCTTCTCCAAAAGACAGTCTGGGATTCCATTTTAATACAAAAATGAAGATCTAGGATTCACCTTAATCTCTTGCTGTTTTTCTATATTACTGAGATTTCCTGGATTTCTGGATTTGAGGTTTAAGGATGTTGTCTATTATTTTCTGCTGTTGTTTTCTTGCTGCTGCTTTCTTCCCAGTTTTCAGACACTTATTTTCTTCTTCTCTTTCTTTATTGCTGTTAAGGTATGTGTTGATTAGCTTCAAATAATGTAGTTGTTATTTGAATATCACATTGCTTTAAAAATTCTGTTGTTTATTAGTTTACGTGTATGTTGTTCCTCTGTGTTTGACTGCAAATTTGAGTTTAGATTGAAGAAAAATGGTTTGATAAATCTTCATACATGTTGGTAACCTGAGTGATAAAACAGTTATCAGTTGTACTGTGATTTATGACTGCTGAGATTTGGTTTGCTGTTGTTGGATTCATACATGTGAAATTCTGGAAATTTTCTATTAGATTTGTGGCCTAAGAAGTGAGACATCAGAAGTGTTGGAGATGAGCTTGAAAATCTGACCAGTGCTTAGCCTGATTTTAAAGTTTTATTAATTGAAAGTGGTCATCTATTATAATTATTGAATCCGAGTTAGTATGGTTATTAATATGGCTCTTGATTCAAAGTTGTAATAATCCTTGTTCATTATCAGTGAATGTAGTTATATAGATTCAATAGATTGATAGTTGATGTTAGAAATATGGATTATGGAATGCTACTGTATAGAAGTTTAGCACGAGTCCCTCTTTCTCGAAATAGCTTCATTTTTCGTAGTTTATTAACAATAGGAGACATAAATGTTAGGTTAATATTGATATTGTATAAGTGATTCAATTTGAGCTGGCGTTAAACTCGTTTGAAATACTTTCGTCTGTGTGACTAGTTATGGGCATATCTGGGCCTTGGTCTAAGGTTGTAATTAATTGGACTCTACAGCTGCAAGGCCCAAACTTCAAATGGAAGTCAGAAAGTGGAAGGCTTAATATAACTAGGGTTCACATGAAAGCTCATTTAGACATCATTCATCTTTGCAGTATTTTACTTATTGACTTAGTGACAAATCTTGTTATGTATAAAGCTTGATGCTATGAGCTTCACGCTTAGCCCATGTATGCTCATACCCGACTTGTGTGATATCTCATGTAGGTCTTCAATCATTTTAAACCCATAGCCCATTTTTTTTGTTTTTCATAGTATATTCCATATTTGTAAACTCTTGGCCTTACAATAATCTTAAACTAGTTTTAGGACAAACAATCTTTGAATATCGTAGTTTGCTTTAGTCACGATTAATAAAATTATCGTGACTATGGTTACGGTTCCCGTGGCATAGTCATGAAACGTAATCCCCAATTCGAGTGTGTGTTTCATGTCACTCGACCATAACTTCAAATAATAATTAAAACAGACATGTTGTAAATCATGGGTATTGCAATGTGTGCCAAAAACGACAAGTGTACGACATCGTAACTTGTTCAAGAAATAATTCCATAAATCCTAAAAGCAATTAAAATTCTATTAAAAATAGTCAAAAGTAAAATAATACACAATAGGTTTTAAACATGTAATAAATCAGATAATTAGGCCAAGAATAAATTGTTAAGCAACCGTGATAAAATAACGGAACTCTGGAGTGCCTTTCTCCTTCTCCCGGGTTAACAGAATTTCTTACCCCATTTTTTGTATTCGCGGACCATAAATAGAGTTAATTTTCCTCGATTTGGGATTTTAAAATAAACCGTTGATTTGGGATACCATAAATTATTCCAAGTGGTGACTCTGAATTAAATTAATAATCCCATTTCGAATAATGTCACTTTTGTTGGAAAAACTCCCATATCCCTCGAAAAAAGGAGGTGTGACAGATGGCACATATGTAAGAGGTTACATGTTCGTTGGGGTCGGTCGTTCCATTGTATTTAGGAATTTTGGGCATGCGAAAATTTTTGGGGATCGGTTTTGGAGCCGCGCTCGGGGGGAAAGGCTTTTGTACGATCTTTTTAGAATCTATGCCCTTCAATATCGGTGGTGCCCCCGGGATCTGATCAACCCTGGAGTTATAAGTTTCCATCTTTTGGTCGTTTGCTTTGATCTTCCTTTCTCCCGATTCTATTCGTTTTGTCAGTTACTCGAGCATCTTAATAATTTCGGGATTAGTTCCTGATTCTTGTTCATTCGACCTCACTATAGCTGGCCCTGTTTTGTGGATGACTTTTCGGGATGGACTAGGCTCGAGCCTGGTCGGTGCCTGGGTTTAGCTCTGCAACTGGGCTATTGCTACTTGTTGAGCTTGCAATATTTCAAAAATCATACGCAAGCTTATTTTGCTTTCCTCTGCGTTTTGGGTATTTCGAGATGCAGATCGAGTTCCACCATGAATGTTATTTTCAGGATCGGAAAGTTGGTTTGCCTCGATGGCCACATGTGAATTATCGTCAATTGGACCTATGGACCGAGCTCCAACAAGGTCGACGGGTGGACTTTCATCCCCGGTCGTCGGGTTGTTGTTCTCATCTTGAAGGCGAGCTTCGTTGTCGATAGGTAGTGCCATTAATGGAGAATTCGTCGTTTTCAGCATGAAATCAAAGGCACTTCCAAGAGAAAGTGTAAAATAGTGTGTTTCACAGAGATTCGTATCAAATAACCACTATTATTCTTAGCCCCACGGTGGGCGCCAAACTGTTTACCCAAAAAACGGATACAGTTGAATTATACGTAGTCCTAAGGATACATGGTATAACTTGGTATAAATCGGAAAAGTAAGTAAAAATATATTGAATATTGACTGTATAAAGGAATAAAATTCAAACCAAATTGAGTAGAGAATGATTTATAAACAAGCGAGATGAATCAATGTCCAAGCTCAAAAAAGGATAGTCTCAACTATATATCAATGTAGTAATCTTTAGAATGTAAGTGTATCAATACTTTCTTCTCTGGATCTTCCATCCACCCTTACAGAAATAATACCCACTTTTAATATAGTGGAAAATCTTTCTTTGGATAAAATAAAAAATACATAATGGAGATCCCATGATAGATTAATTAATTAGCTTTTCCTTAATTTCTGCCGAGATTCTCTCCCTAAGTGCGGCTACAACGGCTCTTTGTCTCGTAGCTCGATCTTGGTTAGTTTTGGTACTGATCGATCTCCGGATCTCGAGCTCGATATTGACTTGGGCTTGGTATTAACTTGGGCTTGTTATTGACTCGAGCTCGGTATTGACTTTGAGCTCGGTATTGATCGGTCCCTGAATCTTGAGTTTGATAACCTGGCTTCGGATCTTATCTCGATATTATGAAGACGACCATTGGTCCATCATGTTCCAAATTTGACTAATTATACGAAGGGCAAAACCGGTTTTGATCGTATACATTATGTTAATGGAAATTAATTCCAGGTTGACAGACTTAAAAGGGGTTTGGGGTGCGTAGAACTCAGACAATACCTTATACTCTTCCAGGGGTTTTTAATATATATATATATATGGGAGTATAGTTTAAGAAGATTTTGGAGCCACCGAATAATTAAGTAGGTACGTGACAAAAATATGATAGTTTAGGGGACTTTTAGGGTATTCACTCAAGAAATAAAGGAAAAAGGGAATAAAGTCGTGTTTGAAAGACTAATTCAAAGTTGGAATAGAAAATCTAAATTGTTTAGAATTTTTTATTTGTTAATTTATTTAATTCATATTTATATAGTAATTATAGTAAGAATTATATAAGAATAGATTTCCTAAATTATAAATAAAGGTGTTATTAAATTATTTTATGTGTAGAGAATTTGTAAAGAGATTTCATAAATTTATAATAAAATAATTTCCCGTTCATCGCCCATGCTTAAAAACGTTTTAAAAGCAAAAAGACAGTAGAAAAAGAACATTTTCAGCCGAGTAGTCTGCAGTCCAAAACCCATATAAAAAAACTCCCTTTTCCTTAGTTATTCACACCATTCCTCTCATTCATACAATTTGTTATAGTCTCTCCGCAGAAGAATCTTCAGCAACATACAACTGAATTTTATCATCAGCTTCAATGGTAATTCTTCTTCTTCTTCTTCTCTCTTTCTTTATATATCTTCTTAATTTCAGGTTTTTAATTTAAAGAACCATTTTACTGTTTAAAATTAAATCAAAAGAAACCCCATTAGAAATTTGATACTCCGGCGCCTTGTTTGATAACCATTAGATTTTTCCGGCGAATACTCCGCCGGGGACCCCATTTGATTTCGCTTATTTGATAAGAGTATATGATTTTTATGACATTAAAGATATATTCTCATTCTCTTATTCTTCTTGTTTTATTTTCTTTTGATATTTTTGGAGTTGTCATTCTAGCATAAAGAGAAGTACAAGCAAAGTTGGTATATACAATTTTAATAATTCATAATTATTCTTTTTTTCTTTCCTTTGGAGTTAGGCTACACATGAAAATATATAGTAGCTGTCACGTCTCCGCTTATATTTTTTTGTTAAAAATATTTATCAAATATTGTCTGAAGAATTCATGCGTCATAGACGTAGTAGTCTATGTTGCTTTTTTCTTTGCCATTATTGATTAATGTTTAAAAAGAAAAATTAAGTTTTTACAAAGTTATGTTACTCCAAAATATTACTATACGCAAATAGATACAGAGAAATAATGACAGAAATGGTCCCCAATTTTTGGATGTAAATTTAAAATAATCCCTTAAATGTACTCCCAAGTAATTTTAATTCTTTAATTTTTATAAAAATAAGTGTAAATTTAAAATAGTCCCTTAAATATACTCCTAAGTAATTTTAATTCTTTATATTTTATATATAAAGATAAATACTTTTAATCCCCGTCAAACATTTAATAGGTTCAAGCAGTTAGATTTGAAACATGTAGGTTTTCTCTGTCAAAAGGTTTTTTGCAACTGAAAGTATGAACAGTTTTTTCTTCTTTTTTCTTTCCTTATCCTGTTTTTGGGTTCTTTTTGGTGCGAATCTTTAGTTTCTCTTTTTTCTTTTTCTGGTTTTGCGGCTTTCGATCATTATTTTTGGAGAGAAAAGTTTGATTCACTTTTTTGATATTTCAAAAAGTTGATATCTCTTTACTTATTTGGCGGTGATGAAATGCTTATCCCAATTAGGTGAATCTAAATACGTTTCGTGAAAATAAAGAAAGTGTTCCCAATGCTTTATAGAATGAGGAAAACTGCTTTTCCAGATCTTTACAAACGTAAAGATGAAGTAATTGACAAATAGCAGCATTTGAATCAGAATTGGTCCAATTGCTATCAGTCCTTCAGTTCAGAAGTTATATAAAAAGCAGGAAATATAGTTTATTAGTTCAAGAAAGAAGACATAATTTTGTAGGTGAAAATTAAAATCGAAGCATTATTTTTTACCTTAGTTTTCTAGAAAGAATTTGCTGAGTAATGATTTGATAATAATAGTCGACGTAGCCAAAATCATGCAGTTGTAGAGTAAGGTACAGGTACTAATTAAAGGCCAATAGATCTTATGCAAAGATTTTAAATTGATATTATTTCAGCTCGGATAAATATTATAATTATAATAATAATAAATGTTATCCTTTCAAAGTCGAAATTAGCTAGTGATATTTTTAGGTTTTGTTTTTATTTTTTTGCCCAACAATCTAGCTCTTCTGCTTAGCTTTCTTCCCAAACAAACCCTTTTATTTATTTGGAAGACGAGCATTGCATTCGGTTAGAAAGTCATGATTTTCAAAAATACCTTTATTTAACTCACATAGTTGAAACTTGAATTTGAAAAGGGTAAAATAAAAAGTAGTACTTTTTTCGTTTTTATCTCTTGGATGTATCTTTTTACTAGATTAAAAAAAAAATGTTTTCATTGTTAATGACGTTCAATACTTTTACTTTTAACAATAGGTTAGGCATTAGTTATTCTTTGTGGTGGAGTTGGTACTAGTAGTAGTAAATTAAAATTGAGATGCTAACAAAGAAGCAAGATTCTACTTTCTCTGTATTTCTTATCTTTATTATTTGGCCTTTTGTTACATTTTGCATTTCACTTGTTTTCTGTGTTGGCTTTTTCTCTGTGGAAACATGCACTAATGCATGTCTTTTTTCAAATGCTAGAGAACTTAGCGTGAGTATTTGAAAAAAAACAATTGCAAAATATGCTTTAGTAAGCATGTAAATGACTTTTAATCATTGAACTGTATATTTAAGTTAAGTCCATATCTATAGTCACAAGGATTTTAATCGATTATAATATTGTAGCAAGTAATTTATCTCATTTCTCAAGTTTAAATTTATTTTTTATAGATGATTATTTGTGGTTATATTGTTTAAGTGACCTAATGGTATATAAATTTTTTTAATTGTCAGTATATAAAAGTTAAACTCTAGTCACAAACAATAATGAGAGTGGTTGTCGAAGAGTTTAACTTCTATATATCACCAATATAAGAATTATTACACTATCACTAACTTAAAAGATAATTATAAATAAATAAAAGTAATTACTTGAGAGACATAAGGTAGACAACCTAGTATAAGACATGTAAATTACATTAAAATTTTTAAAAAATCTTTAAATTATCAATGCATATAATTTATTACATATTACGACGTACACACTGATTTTAAAAGAATAAAATTTGTATGGGTTTGGTACAGGTCTCAGAAGGAGAAGTGGGGCCAAGGGTAGTTCTAACAGCACCCTTATCATTGGAGGGAGAATCAGATGCTTCTGATTACAAAGCTCCTAATCTGCTACAGCGCATTCTAAGCCTCTTGAGTAATGTACGGCCAGGATCTGATCTCACCCGTATTCAGGCAAGTATTAGTTTTACCTTTTATAATAATCTGGCATCGGAGTAATTTTGTTTTGATACCGGAAAATGTCAAAATTGCGATAATTTAATTATCTAAATTAATTTATTTTACAATTAGAGGACAATTAATTTCATGTTTATGGTGTTGGTGAGGCAATTCCCAATTTGTCTATTTCAATGATGACTGGAACCGAATCTTTTTAGTTGTTTCAAATCACTAAATAGAAAAAAGATACTTACGAAATTATCAATTACGCAATTTTTTAGTTGGTCCCTTAATTTTCTCTTCTTTCTTTTTATTCAGTATATGTTGAGAATCATTTGTCGGTAGGGAAAGAGGAACGCGACTGTACCTTCTTGTTAGCTTGACAAGTAGCTAAAAAAAATCTAGTTTTCTATTATTTGTGGCGAAACCAATGTAGTTAAAAAGATTTTAAAAACATATATTTATATCACATCTCTTCAGGTGTGACCTTTCATCGAAACGCGAGATGCCTTATATACTGGGCTGCCAAGGAGCGGCGGTTGCAGTTATATTCAAATTTTGGATTCGTAACGTACAAATGTAATTTCAGCTACCTCCATTATTCAACCTCCCAAAGTCACAGCTACAATGCTATGGGGAATCAGTATACTGCATAAAGAATGACATGTTAAGCAAGTGTGGGAAAGGGGAAACTTCACTTGAAAGAATGATAGCAGTAGTGGGTTGGAGCATATCCACATTGCGCCCTTTGATGTTTGGTGTGGCTCCTTTTAATCCCATTCTTGGCGAGACTCACCATGTCTCTACAGCCTCTCTCAATGTCCTCTTGGAACAGGTAAACATATTGATATATAGAATATTGTGAATGTAATTTACATATTAACTCAAATAGTCGTCCAACCAATCGCTTAAACTAAAACTAGCTGACTCGTTATTCTTAAACTAAAAGGATAAAGATTTTATACTATCAACTCCACTTGCAAAAGTGTTCAAATGTGTGAAACTAATTACAACAAGTGATTTCATTCCCTTTATTATAAGGAGGCTAGTAAGATGGAGAAATTTTAATTAGGAAAGTTTGGATTAATTATATATTTTAAGGGAGTGTCTTTGGAATATTTAAAAATCTAGTGGTATTGGAAACTTTTCATTATCCTGGAGGTGGTGGGCCTTGTTGCGGCTGGGCTTAGCCTTTGGTACTTCATATTGTCTTCAATCTTCATATGAGATGGCTAATGGGCCGATTGCTAACCCAAATTAAATTGAGGAAAAAACATATTTAGACAATATTTAAGAAAATTTTACTGAATTCTAGTAGCAGATAGCAATTAACAAATACGACAGCTAATTAAATACATTTCTAGCTGGAACCTATAATGTTGGACCAATCCTATTAAAATAGGGATTAGTAATTAATAGTAATTCACATAACTTTTGAAGTCTTCCCCACAATTTTCTCTCCCCCATTTAATGACATGCACTGTTATTGTGTCAATGCTAAAATGTCTCTACAGTTGGAAAATTTCTTCACCCTAAATCCTTTCCTTTTTGCGCCTATTCAATTCAACTTTCGTCTTCAACTTATTCCTTACTTCATTCCTCCTTCACGTAACTGATTTTACCTCTAGTTTTTATACATATAGTATATTAAATTTAATAATTCATGGTGTTGTAAAACTATTAAATACACGATGCATATTAATGTTATATATGAATATATTAATAGTATATATTCATAGTATATCTTAATGGTATATACAGATTATATTATACTTGTGGATTACGATCATATACAACGTATTTTAATGGTATACACTGATCATATAATTCTTTGAGAATTTTTTTTTATGAAGTATATAATATAATATTATTGGTATAGTATTTATATTATTTAGCTATACGTAGTATATAACTATTTATATATATAATTTTTTAATGCATGAACATATACGATGTATATTCAGGATATATTAAATTTAATAAGTCAATTTACTGTATCTTTATTGAATTATTGTATATATTCAGTATATAAAATAGTCTTTATTGAAATTACATTGAGGATTGATATATATGGTGATAAGAATAAAAATGGATCCCGTGATTTGTGCAGTTAATTTATTACTTTGAAACATAATTTTTATATTAGGCTAATAATGTAAAAAAATCTGCTATTTATGGAATAAGCTAGAATTCATTCTTTTTTTTAAATAATTTTAAGAAAAGGATCAAGCGTGTAAAAAAACTCTAAAAATAATGGCTGATAGACGGTAAATTACAGTATATATAGATTATACATCTATTATATATTTTTCGGTTATTTTTAGTTTAAGCGGTTGAGTGAGCTACTATTTATATTAATTTCTCTAAATTTTCATTGGCATTGGCCTATAAGCAGACTAAAATCATTAATAGTTGTTATGGATTGACTCGGATTTTATAGAAAATATGTAGCACTGAATTTACACTCTTTTCATCGAAGCAAATGTTAATTGGAGAGTACAAAATTAACAACTCAATTGGGGCGAAGTAAAATTGAAAAGTATACTACTGAAAAGTTCAAATATCAAGTTAGCATTTTGTAAGATAGATTTATGCTTTAGCAACACATTACTAATTTTACGTGCTCATAATAATTTGAAGTTTGACAAATTTTCACAAAAGAATCTCACACTTGGTCCTTATACATGAGAAATGTATATTTTTGACCGCTACAAAATATATTAGCCAACAATCTATATATTTATTTATATATATATAGTTGTATTATATACATACAATATATAATTTTACGCACATTTTGGACTAGCGAATACATTTAGTTTTGGTCGACCACGACCAATTTTGTATTTTACCCTAAAATAAAGTCTGTCTCATAAATTGAATTGAAAAAACATACTTAACTTTTTATTGAAAAATCTAACTTTGTTGTTTTATGATTTTAGGTTTCCCATCATCCACCAGTGACAGCTCTTCATGCAACTGATGAGAAAGAGAACATTGACATGATATGGTGTCATAATCCTGTCCCAAAATTCTGTGGTACTATTATTATTATTTACTTTGTCCATCTTTTTGTTTCCATATCATTTTCATTAACAAATATTTACTACAGTCTACACATAAACTAAAAGACATATTTTTATTTTATGATTTTTCAATAATTTTGTGTAAGGTACAAAAATAGAAACTGAGGTGCATGGAAAAAGGGAATTGAAGCTTCTAAATAGGCAAGAAACTTATGTGATGAACTCACCAAAGCTAGTTATCAGACTTCTCCCATTTCCTGGTGTTGATTGGGTGGGAAATGTAACAATTAAGTGTGAAGAAACTGGTCTTCAAGCTGATTTATATTACAAAGGAAGTTCTTTCTTAAGCAACAGTGGAAATAGATCTGTTAAAGGCAATATTTTTATGCCTTCATCTTCAAAGACAATTTGTGAGATCAATGGCCATTGGGACAGGTAAACATGCCCTTATAACCTATATTACTCGAACTCTTAAAACATATTGCCGAATGCGTGTCAGATCCTCAAAGGTACTACATTTTTATAGGATATTTTTGAAGAGTTCGAGCAATATACTTTATAACTAGACATTCCCTTCCTTTTTTTCTCCATTAATTTTTTTAAACATTTAGAGAAATAAAGAAGATACAAAAGGATGTGTTGTAAATGATTTAATGATGAATTTTAATTTTTAGGATGTGTTGTAAATGCATGATTTAATGATGAATTTTAATTTTTACAAAAGCAAGGTGTTCCAGAAAGATTTTTTTAGAAGCTAGAAGAGATTTTTTAACCAAATGAGATTTCGAAGCACCAAATATGTTAATTTATTGTTTTAATTTCATATCAATCTAGAATATTTACAATAATTTTCTTTTTCTTATATTTTACATGTTTCATTTTTAATTGTTTTTTTTTTGTTTAATGTCCACAGAACTGTTACAGTTAAGGATATAACTACTGGAAAAGTCAATGTGATTTACAATGCAAAGGAAGCACTATCCGGAATGAAGACTCCTATGGTGAAAGATCCAAAGGTACATTTCTTCAATTCTATTAGAAAAATGAATATTGTTTTAAGGTTGCTCAAAATAAAGAAAGCATTGAAAAGTTTGGGACAAATATTCACACTGAAATCTCACGGCAAAACAAATTTGTACGCAGGACATTTTAATAGTTATTTTTAGGCATTAACCAATATGAGATATTTAGATAATACTCATTTATATCCATAATATGTATCTTTTAAGGTTTTACATTCTTTAAGAATAATATTTAAGAGTGTTAAATTGAAGTATTTGTCTAAACTATCTTCCATCTCTCCTTAAACGTCTCAATTAATATTCCACCTAATTAGAATAAAGTATCAAATGATTTTTTGTATGTTCTCTACATAAAACGTTAGATATTTGTATTTTCTTGTCACATAGTTGGATTTTCGAGATTATATATATAAATAATGCAGCCTAATAAAATTGTATTTTCTTCATCTACTTAGTATAACTATTTTTTGGAATTTATTAGGTTGTTATGCCAAGTGAATCAGCAGTGGTATGGGCAGAACTAAGTCAAGCAATCCTAAGTAGAAGTTGGGATAAAGCAAAGCAAGCAAAGACAATAGTAGAGGAAAGGGAAAGAGAAGTTGCAAAAGAAAGGAAGTCCAAATCTGAAATTTGGGTTCCAAAACATTTTACAATATCCTATAGTAAAGAGTCAGGGTGGGAACCCACACCAAATGAGAGGTGGGTCCCTCCAGCTCCAATTATTGCTCCTACTTGATCAATTTGTAACGTGGAAAAATCTAATTTAGGTCATTTTCCTACATTAAATTCATATGTTTATTTTGTAGGTGTAGTAATTATGTATATTATAAATTGTCAATGGCTTTACTTGTCTCCCTCTTAATTATATCTGAGCTGATAATAAAGGAGTTAAATTTTGGAATAGAAAGCGCTGACTTTAAATGGCTTATCCATTAAAAGATAAAATAGCTGGATGTGGATGAACGAAACAGAAAATCTACTGAAAGCGATTTTTTTTTCTCTATTCACTTTTTCGCCATTGGGATATATAGGTAATTAACCTTGTCTTTTATAAGTATAATTTGAGTTGCTTTATCCTTTCCACTTTTATAAACGTTTAGAGAAAAAAAAGAAAGAACAAAGGGAAAAAAAGTAGAGTTCACGAGAAGATTATTTAACTATTCAAAATTATGACTAAAGTTACTTTACTTTCGTTTTTAATAGAAAAGCCACTGAACTATGATTATTGCACACAAATGGTCGTTCAATCGGAATTATCAAACTTTTCGATAAAAATATTCGATGTTGCAGTCTACATGGACTTTTTATATTTTTGAAACCTAAAAAATCCACCCATACACCCAAACCGACCCGTTAAAGGTAAAAACTCACCTGCAAAATAAAATCAAAAGGCTAAAATACATTCCTGTTTGAGTATCAGCCCATAACTGCCTCTATCGTTATACTATTGTTCAAATTTACCTATAATTTTATTGGAGGGACACGTGGCATCACATGAACTAAAATCTACCACCAATTTTAATACCCAATTCTCTTTACAAACCCACTCTTTTATTTTTGGGATTTTTACCTTCCTATACACTATTTGAAACCTTATTACCCTCCTTACTCAAGTTTCAATAAAATTATATAGGCATATACAATTTACCAATTATATACATTTTAGAAATTTAATGAGAATCAATTAACTCCTATAATCTCTCTAACGTACATATCCCA